ATATGCTGACTCTGTAAACCGCTTAGAGAGGGCTGAAAGCCCTATGAAGTGGTATATAAGTCGAACTGCTATTGCTATTGCTATTGTTGATTGTTTTTAAATTGTTGTAGTTGTTTGTCTGTTGTTTTCCTCTTGTTTGTATCCCCCCCCCCTATTTTGGTTTGTGAGCTGCCCTGAGTCCCTCTGGGAATAGGGCGGCATAGAAATGCAATAAATCAAATCAAATCAAAATCAAATCTTTGATGATGTTAACTAGTCTGGTAATGAAACATCGAGAAATTAAATTGAAACGAGTTTGAAGAGCAAACCACTACCAAAATCTAAAAATTGTGCTACAAGTATTTTCTTTTATTTCAAGGTTCAGTTAGTATTTGGATAAAGGATTACCTAGGAATTCCAGAATTGTTGGCTATGTTGAGAATCTGCAAAATCATGCCTAAAGAAGGCAATGATAAATCACTCCTATTGCCTACACCCAGGGTTGCATCTAACGTGGCATTAAAAATGACTGTTCAGACATTCTGAGCTTCAATTGCATTACTTAGGTGGAAGAGTTGTTTAGTCTGTATACTATGTGACTTCCACTGACCTTTGATATCTATACTCTATTAGAAAATAAATTCCTTGCATACTAGAGAGAAATGATAGCTTATTCTAATATAAAAAGAACTCAGCAATAAAATAATCAAAGGTAGACAAATGGAGGGATGAGCACACAGATGTGAATTCATATCTCATATTCTATTCCATTTCAAGGGATAGTTTTATCACTTGCTTTTGCTTCTGTACTGTGCTGTTTACAACAATCAGAAAGGTTGCATTTCTTTCAGTTTTCTGAAAACCAAGCACTTGCAGTAATGTGCTAAAGCTCTGGATAAGAGCTAGACTAAATCTATCAAACCTTCCAGATTTTATTTGCTGTCTTGCAAGAGATCATAACTACACAGAGAGAAAAAACTGGAATAAACAAGTAAAATTAAAGCTATAAAAATTATTGGACAGTTTTTACTTTTATACCTCCACAGAATCCATAGTTCACTTTTGACATTTCCAGTTGGTTTTATTTGATTTTGCAGTGCTATTAGTTTCAAAGGGTCTTAGGCAACTAACATAAAGAGTCACTACTACATTGTGGTCTGAACTCAGTTCATCCAGATTAACAAGAAAAGGGGGGGGAAACCACTTCTTTTCCAAAAGAATGAGTTCCCTTCATAATGCAAGTATTATGACAGCAGAAAAGAAATGCATAATCACGCTGTCAAGCTCAAGAGAAAAACACATTCCCCCTTCCCCTCCTTCCGATTATTGCAACAATGAGAGGTTAAACAGCCAATTCTTAAATGAATATCTGGGAAGGGCACTGGTTCGTACAGCACATCCAAGCTGCTTTTTGTGAGGCAGGACTAGCAGCCTTATCAGTCAATTGTACTAGAATGAATAGCCCAGTATCCTCCAGATGCTGCAGGCTGTAGCTCCATAGTCCTTTATTCTTGACATAGCCAATGGGGAGGACAAATGGGAAGGTTTCCCTTCAGTCCTGATGATTTTATGAACACAGAAACAATTTGGAAGCAGTTTGCCTTCTGTATTTTTAACCCCAAGTTCCCAGTCCAGCCCACAGCCAAAATATTCTCTAGTCCTGGCCCTGCTCCGCTTTCAGCATCAGCCAAAGTTGGTTAGCTGTGCCAGGCTAATTAAGCTGAAATTCAAAGTATCTGGATGGCATGACATTGCTTGTCCCTGATCTACACAAATCAGGCTATCAAAACATGTGTTGCAGACTCTTCCAGGTGACTGAACTCTCACAAAGCAAGAGAAAATAAAGGACATGAAGCATAAATCATGAAGGTGGCATTTCTCCCTTCTTCACTCTCCATTTCAACATCAAGCAAAATAGGAAGATTGGGAGTGGAAAATGAGATTTATTTATTTACTTACTTATGTACTTACTTATATATCCGCCTATTCATTCATGGTGACTCAGTGTGGATTACAGAATATAAAACCACATTTAAAACAATAAAACTAATTAAAAATCAAATTAATTAATATAGTATAATATAATAATAATCACCCCACCCCAGCAACAGCAGATCACATGAGCCATTTAATGGGCTCCCTCCCTCTCTGGGTTCCCCAGGCCAGCTGGCAGATAGTACATAATCAATAAATCAATCAGCAAAAGGAAATTGACAATCAAGAATTGAAACCGTATCTACTATCAGTGTCAGAGAGGTTCACAGAAATAGCATTTATTTATACTGATTTAACTATGATCTGAATGTGTGACTGGTTTACAACAACAAATATATAATTATGTTCCTTCTTGAGGTTTTTGGAGGGGAAACAGGGTACAAATCTACATATCAATGAAAGTGGTACCCGTGAGAGTTTTCTACTTGATACAAATGTAATCAAGCTGAGAAATAAATTTTACCTATGGAATGAACATGTTAGGTCCCTTCCCTGTTTATGTGTTTGGCCTCAGTAAGTATCAGCTTTTTCTCTTAAACTGGTTGGGCTTTTTTTCATTGCTAATCTGAAATACTATGCACCCATTCTTGAGTTAGTAGAAAATGATGCCTCCATGAAATCAGTATCATCATTGCTAATCTCTTTCTGGTCTCTATTCCACATCAGTTCTATTACATGTCTTTCCTCCAAGGAACAAAGCCTCACAACCTTTACTTGCCTTGAGGCCAACATTGGATGATATAAAAAGAAAAAGAAAAACTACCATTCTGACAACAGTTTAGTTTATGAAACTTAACCTTTTTCCCCATGATGGGGAAAGTCCTAAGGGCAACAGCAAGAGATCTCAACAGAAAAAATATATACATTGGCAGGATATGTATGTCCCAAAGTTAACATAGGTAGAAGTGTGGACTTGTGAGTACATAAATACCCAGACAGTATGAAAAGGAAATTTGTTTGTTTCAAGTTGTTTGTTCCCCCACTTCATCTTTTAAAATATTTTTGACCATCTGCAAACCATGGGGTTTGCTTTATTGCCGGTAACTTTGAGACCCAACATATAAGACAGGTTGTAAGGAAGAGAACAAATCCAATGCATTTTCTTTTTCCATTGTCTCAGAGAGACAATTTTGGTTAAATGAAGATAGGATAGTGCACACACATGCCTTGGTTTTTGAGAGTCAGGAATTTAGCAGGAGAAGAAGGGGGGTGGGGGAAATAGAAGGGGACTGGAAAGCCAGGCTGACTAAATGTTAACAGGAAAAAAAACTTCATATAAGTGGAAAAAGAGAAAGTGTCTAATCAGGTAGATTTCAATTTACAAAATTATTTAGGAAATAATTTCAATAAGATGGTTCTTTAGTTTGCAAAGGTGAATCTATTAGTGTTGTGAGGTCATATTGCCTTGAAAATATTCCAGACAGCAAACTGTTCTTCAAGATGTTCAGATCAGCATCTTTTCTTAGCTTCAAGCAGGAGCACGTAGAGGCCACAAGGCAATTCTCCCAAACCCTGCCTTTATTGTAGAGAAAAGGGTTTTCTATATTTAAAATCAGGCAGATGTTGAATAAGAGGTTAGAAAGAATGGGATTTACCATTTCCCTTCAGTCTCAGATTTAAATTAGTATTTGTAGGAAACATGATTTTCTAAGTAGCAAATTAACAGAGAAATAACATCTGTTCCAAGGCTACTTTGGTCTTTAGAGAAATAGGGAAAAATTTACCTACAAAATGTGCTAAATTTAATTTATTCTATGCTTCTGGTACCTAATATTTATGTATTGTGTCTCTGGTATTTATGTTCTCTGTACATGCTCAGTAAATTGTGATATTTTTATGCATGTTGGAACCTCTTTAGCAGAGTTCCTTTAAGTTAGGGGCAATCAATAATATAATGTAGCTGCTCAGAGGCTCAGATATCTGATCTTAAAAAATAATACTTTTTACTTCCCTTGACACCGAAGGGATACTTAAAGCTAAAAAGGAAGTACATTTTTCCTCTTTGCTTTTTAATAAAATTTGATTTTGTTTTATTTTGTAAGATTGATCTGGCTCTCAAAGGGGATGGAGCTGATTTCCCTAGCCACACACGTTCACACCCCAGATTCAGGAAGTGCTGGAGTAGAATTTATTTCATTTTTGCCATGAGGGAAAAAGGAAAGGAAAGGAAAGGAAAGGAAAGATACCTAGATTATTTCCATGGAAATGTGAAGCAAAAAATAATAATCTCAAATCATGAATACAGTGAGAGAAATTTTATCTATGAATCGCTCTGCATCAACCAATAGTCAAGTTTTTTGATCCTTAGTGGAATAGCTGCCTTTGAATTGTGATTATTACAATTATTACATCTGGTGGAGAATGAAAACTAGCTAAGTATACTGTACAAACTCTGATGAAGAGATTTAAATAATATTCTTCTTCCTTTTTCATAGGACCTCCATCTGTCTCTAAAATGGCTCTTCAGAGTTATTTCAGTTGCTGGAATGGAACAGTGATCAAGTTGAGACGGGTGTGCGATTTCATCAAAGATTGTGCAGATGGAGAAGATGAAGGACAGATATGCAGTAAGTCAAATCAGCTCTAAAATTTCAGAACATTGCCTAGCTCTATAGCAATGAAAATTATCTCACTTCTACAAAGGAACCTGAATTGGTTCTTTGAACTCAACGCTAAATATACATGGGGGGGGGGGGACACTTCAGTTTCCCAGCAAATAAACATTTTTAATTTTTCTGACCAAAGAAGGAAACTGCAAATGCTGCATCCAGATCACTCCCTAAAGAACACAGAAGTTGTAAGGAACTTGGATCTCTAGTATAGGTTCTCCCTGTTCTCCCAGGTTCTACAAGTAAGGTTCTACATTTAGGTAAGAAAAACAAAATGCACAGGTACAGTATATGTGGTACCTTGCTCAATAGTAGTAACTATGAGAAGGATCTTGGAGTCCTAGTGGACAACCATTTAAATATGAGCCAGCAGTGTGCAGCAGCTTCCAAAAAAACCAACACAGTTCTAGGCTGCATAAACAGAAGGATATAATCAAGATTATGTGAAGTGTTAATACCACTTTATAATGCCACACTTTATAAGGCTGCATTCAGTTTTGGTCGCCATGATGTAAAAAAGGTGTTGAGACTCTAGAAAGAGTTCAGAAAAGAGCAACTAAGATGATTAGGGGGACTGGAGACTAAAACATATGAAGAATGGTTGCAGGAACTAGGTATGTCCAGTTTAATGAAAATAAGGACGAGGGGAGACATGATAATAGTGTTCCATTACTTCAGGGGCTGACACAAAGAAGAGGGAGTCAAGCTAGTCTCCAAAGCAGCTGAGGGTAGGACAAGAAGCAATGGGTGTAAACTAATCAAGGAGAGAAGCAACTTAGAACTAAGGAGAAATTTTCTGACAGTTACAGCAATTAATCAGTGGAACAACTTGCCTCCAGAGGTTGTGAATGCTCCAACACTGGAAATTTTAAAGAAAATGTTAGATAACCATTTGTTTGAAGTGGTGTAGGGTTTCCTGCCTAAGAAGTGGGTTGAACTAGAAGACCTCCAAAGTCTCTTCCAACTCTGTTATTCTATTCTATTCCCAGATTAGATGACTACATTATCTAATCTGTAGTCAGGAGGAGGGCACCAAGGAGGACCCGCCCATATACTAATTAATATATAGAACACTTTGGGGTTGTTGTTATTCAGTCTCTATGTCATGTCTAACTCTTTTTGACCCCATGGACCATAGCACACCAGTCCCTTTCTCCCATCCTCCACTGTCTCCCTGAGTCTGTCCAAACACATGCCCACCATGCCAATGACACTATCTAACCATCTCATACCATCCCTTCTCCTTTTGTCTTCAATCTTTCCTAACAGGATCTTTTCCAGTGAGTCCTCTGTTGTCATTTGGTGGCCAAAGTATTTGAGCTTCAGCTTCAGTAAACAGTTAAGGTCTATTTAATAGACTTTAAGTAGGAGAAGGCAACTGAGTCAAACCTGAAGACAGGGATAGGGTAGAAAACACAAATCGGTCCACTTCCGTTGTATTTATAAGCATAGGAAAGGAATATAGGCATCAGGATATTTTGATTTTAAAATATTGTTAAGTAACAAGATATGTCTGGAGGCTTAAAATTGAACCAACATGGAATTTATAAAGCTTAAATTTATAAAGTAACAACAGGAGAAGGGAAAAAAGGCAGGAAGGATAAGTAGACATCAGTTATTACATAAATCCTGACTTATGTCTCTGAAGCAGAGTGAATCATGATGATTCAGTTTCTTACTATATGTGGGAGGCAGAAGTGTGTGAAATAAGATTAGAGAATGACTTTTCCCCACACATCCTCTTGTTGAGAAAGGAAATTAGTTGCATGTATTTTAGATGAAACATGAGCCAGTAACTGCAATGTCTTGAGAATTCTATTGAAGATTTTTTTTGTGTGATGAAAAGGGGCCAGTTTATTTGAAATATGCTGGTAGGTGTGATTCAGCTCAAATTACCCACAAAGGAAACAGTAGGAGATAATTTTTATAATGTTACAGCATCCTTCATAAACTACTAAATAGCTATCTATAAAACTCTCTATAAATCAAGAAGTTACCTGCACAGATTTCTGAATGACTAGGCATGCTGAATATATTCTTTCTCCCTATAGAAATGCCTCTAACACCATTTAATACCAAAACAGTGTTCCAACAGTGCAAAAGACAGGGCTTGTGTGTTAACAGTTAAGGAAGGCAGTTTACTCCATTTTAATATATTTTATTGAGGGAAACTAATCAACATACAACAGAGTTAAAAGGTCAACAGAACCTCAAAAAAAAAATAAACAGAGCAATACAAAAAGGGAAAAGGTATAGAAATTATATTATGAACAGATTATTGTTACTACGAAGTTAATCTTAATATATAGCCAGTAGGTTTTAATTCTATTTGATCTTGGTTTTGTATTGTTGGAAGATTCTTAGTCAACTTGATCACACTTTCAAATAGAAATAAGAGGTGTAAATATTTATATGAATAGAATGATGTACAATAAAGCTATAATGATGTTGGAAAATTTGATTCCAGTGTATTGTTTTTCAAACTTCAGAGAGATAATTACATCTTGGTATGCATAGAAGATGAAATTAGGTGTTTGCAATTATTTTACAATGCCAAGCATGCACATAGTAGCCAGAGTCATTGGGAGTTTGGTGGCATACAAATTTATAATAAAAATAATAACTTGAATTATTACATTTTGCATCTAACTATAGATTACCCACACATAATAAGTATACAGAGGGGTATCCCAAGTGTCTGTCTTAGACCCAGCATTTTTCAATATATTCATCAGTGATTTAGATGAGAAATTTGTAGGCGACATCAAGCTGGCAGGAATAGCCAACACTCCAGAAATTAGTCTTAAGATACAGAAGGACCTTGACAGACTGGAACACTGGATCCTATATAACAAAATGAAATTCAATGATGAGAAAAGTAAGATTCTACATCTAGGCAAGAAAAAACAAATACACAAGTATGGAATAGGTAGTACCTTTATCAATAGTAGTAACCTGAGAGTCTTGGAGTCCTAGTGAGAAATCACTTAAATAGGAGCCAGCAGAGTGCTGCAGCTGCCAAAAAAGCCAGTGCAGCCCTAGGCTGCATTGCCAGAGGGTTAGAATCAAGATCACATGAAGTGTTAATGCCACTTTATAATGCCTTGTAAGACCACACTTTGAATATTGCATCCAGTTTTGATTGCCATGATATAAAAAAAGATGTTGAGACTCTAGAAAGAGTGCAAAGAAGATCAGCAAAGATGATTAGTAGACATATAAAGAACAGTTGCAGGAATTTGGTATGTTTAATGGAAAAAAGAGTGATATGATAGCAGAGTTCCAATATCTAAGGGCTGCCACAAAAAAGGAGGGGGTCAACCTACTCTCTAAAGCATCTGAAGGCAGGACAAGAAGCAGTGGATAGATACTAATCAAGGAGAAAAGCAATTTAGAACTAAGGAAAAAATTCCTGATAGTTAAGACAATTAAATTGGTGAAATGACTTGCCTCCAGAAGTTGTGGGTGCTCCATCACTGGAGGTTTTTAAGAAGAGATTAGACAACCATTTTATCTGAAATGGTATAGGGTCTTCTTCTTGAGCAGGGGTTTGCACTAGAATACTTCCAAGGTCCCTTCCAACTCTATTATTCTGTTATTAGACATGTATATTTCCAGTCTTTGGCTATGGCAGGGAAGATAGGAAAGAAAAATGATGGTATAATATTCAAATATAGCCAGGTGGCCCATGGCTCTATGTTACATATAGCTTGATATTCAATGATTGTTACAATATAATAATTTTTTATATTATTTTTTTATTTTTTGAATAGACACAAACAAACAAGACACAACAAACACCATAAAAACATATTCCATTACAAA